CAACTGGATGATGAACAGAAAAGTTGTCAAGGAATAACAAAATCTTTTGGTCATCATTCAGTCCAGTTCCCTTACAGTGAGCACAAGACGCAAGTCCAAAATGTTTGTGAGGCCAATCAGAAAAGATGTGCCTGGTTAAACCTGCCTTTTTGTTAGCATAATAATTGTCTGGTAAGAAATTCACCCATTGAAAACAGCAAGGACACAAGCTTTTGCCTGTCATACAAGTTTACACTTAACGCATGCCTGCTGCATTAGCACATCCCAGCACGGTTGTTTTGCCCTTGATGTCCTTAATTCCTGGAGAGGCTGTCTCATCAGCCGTAGTTGTGTCTTTCCAGGGCAATGAAACCAAAACGGTGATGTTCCATTAGTGTTATAGACTTGTTTTGGCATCAGGTTTTCATCAGCAATGACCTCGGCAAACTCACCAATGAATTTCTTTGCTGCTTCATGATACTTTATCACCACATTAAAAAAATTTAATATCATGTTTTTTTCTTAAGTTTCTGCAGCCAACTTGTTGAATATTCATAGCTCCCTCTCGTTTTCAGTTCATCCTTATAGATCCTTGCTTGTTTCCTGACCCACATAGCCTTCAGTGGCAGGTGTTCACTGCAACACCAAGGAATCTGCCCTCAGTACATGGTCGGCATCTTCATTGTTAGCTTTATGCAGTGTTTATTTTTCATTAATTTCTGTGTGTCACTTTTAGCACAGAACTTCAACAGTTCATCCTTCTGTTTCTTCAGGTCCTAAATGGTGGTCACTCCAACACCAAACTCTCCTGTAAGACATTTCACACTTAGACGCTGCTGACCACTTTCTCCAACAGCTTGACTTTCTGTGCTACAGATAAACATTAATGCTTCCTCTTTTTCTTATCACTGTTACCCAGAGAGGTATCTGCAGGCCTTCTAGATATTTTAACAACATTTTTATAACAGCAGAAAGTAAGCAAAAAAACAGTGATGCACGTGGGTTTGGGCCCCATGCAGGGCACTATGGGGAACCCGCCACTGGCATGTGCTTGCATGGGGGGATCTGGGCATGTGCCGAAAAGGCACGTCACAGCTGAAGGAGGGTGGGAGGGTCTCTTTTCCCTTGGAGACACTGAATAAACTACATGTTGTGGCCTGCATTTTGACTGCAGCCTATCACATGAGGTCAAGTGTGGACTTTCCATTTGTACTGCCATGTTGGTACTCACAGGTTTCAAATTTCAGAGCGTTTTGGATTTTGAATTTTCAGATTAGGAATGCTCAGCCTGTGTTTTGCTAACCTGACTGCAGGTCTGCACAGGCCTCAATATTGTCTTTCTGTAATTTGAGCACAGGAACTGATGCTTCAGACGCTAAATAAGCTTTCCCAGGAGAGACTGTAATGAGATGTGCTGGGATTGGATGTGTTGAGCGTCTCTGAGCAGATAAATAGTAAGATTCATTTAGCCATAATAAATATTGAGGCTAAATAAGCCTTTCCCAAGAAAGACTGTAATCCGACGTGCTGGGATTATTGGGTGTGTTGGGCTTCTCTGAGCAGATGAATAGTAAGATCCGCAGCAGTAATTGTTAGCATCCACGAAAGAGGCCTACAGACAAGTGTTCACTGTGCTGCTAGTTTTGTGTCTGGTGAGCCAGTATACTACATAAAGGACACCAGATCCTGCTCACAGCACCAAAAAAATAAAAATAAAAAATAGGACACCAGGGGCCGCTTGGCTAACTTGCAGGGCTGTGAGCACTGCACTGCACCTCCACTAGGGAGTGCTGGTAAGCACCCATCGGAACACCTGTCCCCTGACCCTCCTCGTCCTTGCTGGCTGGCTGTCATCCTGCATACCCAAGCCCAAGCATGCAGTTTCGTTTTTCCGTGGATGTTTGGTTTTGGACACTAGGGGAAACTTTCAGGTACCCTTTCTTAGTGTAATTTTTCTGATTTTAAAGAACTGTGCTAACATTATTACTACTTAACAATTGTTTTTAATCTGGTGCAAATACCAGGTCAGTGGGCAATGAAAGTTCTCCCCTCACACTTGTCTTCTCACCCATGAAAATTGCATAAAGCTCTGAAGCCAGCTTTGGCTAAAGGGGCATGATCCCCCCCTCAGAGGATGAAGAACCAGCTGGCTGCAAGCTTGTGACAGCAAACACTCTCTTCTGCCAAGACCTGTGAAAAGCCAGTCTTGGTTGTCAAAACCAGCACCACGACACCACGAGTCCATGTCTGAGAGAGGATGAACTCAGAAGGAAGTCTCGTGTACAGAGGAGGCTTTCATTCTCACTCCAGGATGCCACCTACATGACTTACACCCCAGCCCAGCCATCCCAGACCTAAGGGGTTCTTCCTCTCCAGGGCAGGACCTACATGCAGTCGGTGTTGCTGCCCTGTCTTGGTGGCCTGTGTGTGGCCAGCCTGTTATCAGCACCCTCTGGATTCCAAAGCAAATGCATTGTCAGTGGAGGGAAGAGAGTCAAGTACCAGGTGGAGCTGTAGCCTAAGGTCACACGTCATCACTCCAGATTATGAATCATGATTTGCCAAATCTCCAAATTGCCGAGTGTGGACAGCAAATGGATTTGTTCCTGCTGGCTGGATGTAAAGAAGCAGCCAGTCCTCAGCTGTGCTTGAAGTGCTACAGGCAGTAGTAAAGGTAGCTTTTCCAAGCCATTTCAATAAATGTCATTAAGAGTGGCTAAGTTGTTTGAGGGCCATGGCATCATGGTGGTAGATAACAGGTAGAAGGAAGGCAGGCCAGCTCCCGACCTGGGGTTATCTCCACCAGTGACAGTCGTCCTTAACTGGAAGTAGCTGTAGTAAACATCACAAAGGTTACTTCAACCCAAGACTGGAAAGACCACCTTGATCAGAGAGTTTTCCTTCCACATGACACATATCCAACCAGAGTCCTCCAGCCCCTCCCCACACAACCTGATGGAGGCTCAAGGACTCACAGGAAGGAACACTTGGCTTGAAAATGTTCCTAAGAAAAAGGAAAGTGTGAATTCTGAGAACTGAGTGGCAGAATGGAAGTTTCACGACTGGCAAAAGCCTAAACCGATTATTATCAAATAGATGATTTGTGAATGTTGAAAAGGTAGCTGTGTTCTAGGACACTGGTCGTTGCCCTGGTGAGACCACACCTGTGTCACACTCGGTTCTGGGGACGGTATTCCGAGATGGCGTGCACAAATGGGAGAAGACTGGGCTCGAAGGAGCAGTCTAGTTTGGCAGGATGTCACCAAGACCTTTGACAACATCTCATCAGCTTACGAGAGATGTTGGTGACATGAGGAATGGATAATGGTAGTACAGTGAAATGGGTTTGAAGCTGTGGTATCTCGCGGATGGCAGCTCACGAGAGGCAGAACACCTGGGTGGCAGCATTCTCAGCCACCTGGCAGCAAGGCCAGAGCACTCTGCCACAGCTGATGTTCTGGAAAATGCCGCTCTCTCCTCTGATGGGAAAACTAGAAAGTTTCAGCCTTTCCTATACGCTGTCCACCAGCCCCAGACAGCTGAGCGTGAGTCACCTGGGGCGCCATAGTGTCCCAGGTACTGGGCCTCTTGCCGCCCCAGGGACAGCTCTCCCCACCACAAGGCCTTGAGAAGACACCTGCAGCCCTTCTTGCCTTCCTGGCCAGGGCTGTGCATCTGTCCCTGTGCTAAGGGTTGAAAGAGATGTTCCAGGGGGAGCACACTCACTTTGTGCATTTGTAAGCCTAGTCCTCACCCACTAAGTGGTCATGACCCACCCATGACATGCGCAGCACCCTCCATTTGAAAAAGCCCTAGCTGGACTCAGCTTCTGAGCAGCCTCCTCTGTATGTCCCTGTTTGCTCTCAGCTCTTTCCTAAGGCGTTTAGGGGAGGGGAGGGGTCTGGGTGTCTAGGCCTGGGCAGTCACCGGGGGTCCCCTACCCCACCTGTCTCTCTCCTCGCTGTGCCTTCTTCCTCACCTTGCTGGGGCCTCCATTACCGAGGTCCCCCCCAGGTCCATGCCCAGCCCCTCCTCCAGCCACCCCATGCCACAGTCCCAACTCACGCCCCCCACCAAGTCTTTTGAGCAGGGGGAAGGGCAACGATACCCGGCCCCTTCTCTTTCCACCATGTAGCACCAAGTACCTCGCTCTCTTTCAGAAAGCAAAATTGGAAACTCTGACTAAGTCCTCAGGTGAACCCACAAAAGCCTCTTTGATGCGCACATGGCTGAAAAACTCAACATGTACAAGACTTGACTTTTATGAGATGTTTATTGCAAGTGCAGTTTATTTTAAAATACTTACAAAAAATGTATTTCTGTGGCAGTCTGGGGCCATAAATATTTTCGTAATACATTCTTAATTGGGAAAAAGCGTTGTAACTAAGCTTTAGTAACACTGCCAATTTCAGTCCTGGAGACTGCCGGTAGAGAAAAGTACAGGAAACCTCCGTATTCACAGAATCAGGATTTGTGGTCAAAGACGACGCACGCCTGTTCCTCCCTGCTTCTGGTGGCTTTCGCTGCCCCTTTCCCTGGGTCGCCACCCCAGGCTTAGCCCCACTTTGCTGCCTGCATAAGCCCCAGGTTGTGAACAGGACAGCTGCCAAAGTGGTCCAAGCACCCAAAGGCAGGCAGTTGTGTGGCAGTGTGACGCCAGGGCGGAGCACGTGTCACCATCATCAGGAATCAAACTTGACGCATCCTGGCAGTGTGCCTGGCAGCTCGTGCTGACTTGCTCCCAAGGCCTGGTCCCAGCAGGCCATGCCCGTGTCCTTGTCTGTAGAATGAGGGTTATGCGCGATAATGCATATATTTTGGCTACACATAGTAAGCATTGAAAAATTTGTATCTGGCATAACTTTTTAAGTATCAGATTTCATACTGAAATGAAAATTAGTTGTTTTTTTTGTAAGCAGGTTTGACCTTTGCCACAAGGCTCACAGGAAGAACATTTGGGGCCTGGGGATAAGCAGCAGTGTCGTCAGCGCCTCTGGTTTCTGCTTTTTCTCTGCCTGCAGGTCGCCCGGCTCATGGAGATGGGATTTTCCAGAGGTGATGCTTTGGAAGCACTCAGAGCTTCAAACAATGACCTCAATGTTGCCACCAACTTCCTGCTGCAGCACTGATAGTCCCAGGCCAGCACTGGGACCGGACTGGCCACCAGCTGACAGTGCATGGTCCCACCATCAGATCAGCCTGGGGACTGAGCACCTCTGGTGCTGATGTTCCTGTGGGGAGAGGGAGGTTCCACCGCACCCCCACCCTCAACCCCAAGACTGTTGCCATTATAGCATCGAAATAAGTTTGCCATTACATTAGCATGTATTTTCTATCTATATTTTTTTATTGGGCATTTTCCCTAGGTTGGAGAGTCATTACTTGTTTTGAATGTGTTTAAAAATGCATTAAAATGGAAGATTTCTGCAGGCAGTTGAATGGCACTCCAGATGGGGAATTGCTGTGACCCTCTTACTGTGTAACACGTCATTTCCTGTGTCGTGATGGGAGAGAGTAATGTTATTTCACAAAGGACGTGTCAGATCCTTCTTCATGGACTTTTTTAGTTACTGTTTTTTGTTTTTTTTTTCTCTCAAACTTGTTTTCAAATCTCCTGGGGGATGAGGGAGAAACGGGGAGTTGAACTTTCCCCCGTGCTGTTCCAGGCCAGTACCTTCTCCTGCATCTGGTAACAAAGTATGGTGATAACCATGTGCTGGTTCAAGGTTCTGGAATTCTCCATGAACTTGGGTTAATTTTGCTCAGAATATCCAGAGTTGGCCACTAGGCTGTGGGTGAAATGGGATGGAGAGGAAGAACAGCAGGCTTTCTGAAGCCACGTGGACTGACTAGGGAGCTTTGTGGCTGACGCAGGCTCAGCCGGGGAAGAGGAAAAATGATCCTTAGCCTGCCCCGTCCCTGTGGCAGGCTAACTGTCTGGCCCTCCTAGCTCGCAGCCAGCCAGCTCCTCTGGCAGCAGGTTCTCCCCAGGTCTTGGGTCTTGAACCTGCGGCAGCAGGAGGCAAGGCACACTGTGGAGGACAGGGCTCAGGTCAGGGAGAGGAGAGGCAGGGGTGGACCGCTGTGAGCATGAAAAGACCAGAAGCAAGTTGACTCTTGCAATGCGCAATTGTTATGTTCTGCAAAATGAGCAGTGATGTATCAAATTGATGCAAATTTAGATGTTGATACTTACAATAAAGTTTTTAATGTGTTTTACTCCAGTTTTTTTTTTTTGTATCAGACTTGTACAAATAAAGCCTTGTTCCAGGCTGTGCATTCGCCACTCAACCAAGTCTTCCGCACTGCTCATCTGTCTTCAGAAGATGGGTGCTTGTTTGAAGTGAGTGAAGCGCTTTTGTTCCTGCAAGCAGCACTGCCCACAGAACCCCCCAGGTCAGTGGCATTACCTGTGCAGACCTGGAAGCTCGGCCACACTGAGGCTGCCTGGGACCACTGAGCTGCTCAGAAATGAGGTCGAGGTGAGTTTCTTGGAGCCTAGCTGGTCCCACGCGCAAGCCTCTCCTGAATCTGAGTTGCACCTTCTCAGGTTGTAAGGAACAGTTGACAGTGGTAGGGACGTCCCTGACTTCATTCGCTAACCAGGCTGCAGTCAAGACTTGAGAGTGCTGAGCAAAGCCATATGGGTCTGACCTCGAGGCAAATCAAACTCCACCCACTGTGTTCCCTGTACAAAGGGGCACAGGCAGAGAACAACCAAAATACCTTCTCCTCCATGCTGCCCCTTCAGACAGCATCTAGCCAAGTAAAATCAAACCAGTGGCAGACTCTCCCTTGGAGACAGGCAGCCAATAGCCCCTTAGCAAGTAGCTAGAGGCCTCAGTTCACACCCGCCAGCAGTTCTTGTGTGTTTGCTAATCAGGATTCTGTTAGGAATGTGATTGTATTTCAGAGATCTTTGTCCTGCCCACAGGAACCTCAGTGACCTTTATGTTGGTTGTTTAGCTTAGACAGTAGAGGATTGAGGTCCTAAATCGTGGCAGAGCTGGGAGACAACCACAGGCGTGGTTGGTTCTCTTTCCCAGTTCCTTACAGCTGCCAAGTCCTCACCTTTGCGTGGTGGCCCGTGATTCTCCGTCCTTGTCATGCAACTGCCAGGCCCTTCTCCCTCTGTCACCACCCTCCAGACAGTCTCTCTCTCTCTCTCTCTCTCTCTCTCTCTCTCTCTCTCTCACACACACACACACACACACACACACACACACACATCTGCCTTTTCCACGCTCGGCCATGTTTTCTGTCTTGCTGGGGTTTGTGTTGCTCACCCACTCTTGCTTCCTGCAAATATTAACACAAACATCCCCCACAGAAGTTTGAATACCTGAGAACTCCCACACCTCTTGTCAAGACACTGGGACTCTTTTTTTCCCAGCTAATGGCACCCCCAAGGAAAACCTACGGAGCCATGAGAGCCAGAGGAGGGTGCCAGTGAGCACTTGATTGGGTTACCTAAGGCCTCGCAAAGCCTTTTGATTTATGCACATGGTAATACACTGGGCTTAATTTTCAGGTGAGCAGATTCTAGATTGTGAAATGAGAAAAGCAGGGAAAATTGTCCATAGTGACCCTCTGCTCCTGAAATTAAGGAAAGCCTGCCTGCCAAGTTCCACTTCATAAAGCTAGGCTGCATTTGGGGTTAGAAAGGTGGAGATTTTAGGGAAATTGAGTATAAAATTGTGAACACATTCCAGTGTCATTTAGAATATTTTGTGAGTCCCAGAGTTTATGTTCTTACAATTGTTCTTAAGTTGAAATGGAAGTGTCCAAACGTTAGACTTAAGAATTTTGTCTTAACCTGAAAGTTTATGTGATATTTAATTTGTGAGAGTCAGGATTATTTTCTTCCCTTCGAAGTTCCCCTAACTAATAGTGTTTTTATAAAGGGGTGCACGAAGAATGCCAACATGGGCTTTCCAGCTTAGACTAAAATTCCAGTTCTGAGAGTGAAATCTGACACATGATAAAAATTGCCAGAAGCCTATGAATTTATAACCTGCTGGATACATACAGCCTTGTCTGTTGGAGAAACAACCCACTAGCTAAATTTTAACAATGCACGAATAGACTTGGGATTCAGGTAGAAGGGCTGGGGGAAGTGGTCACTGGATGTTGGAAATCAGTCTGAAGAGAGCCAAATCACAAGGCCTGCCCTTGGGCTAATGGAGTAAATTGATGACCGGGAATTAGGAGAGAGGAGGGCTGAGGATGGAACCCTGAGGAATTCGGCATCGGGAGTGGAGGAGAGGCGGAGAGGCCCCCGGAGGATCAGGAGAGGGCAGCCCACGTGGGGACGTGAGAGTGGCAAGGCGGGCAGGTGCTGCTGTGAAAGGCCAGAGCAAGGGCAGAGTGGTGGCAGCTTCCCAAGGAGACGTGAGGACCGGTGAGAAAGGAGCGGTGGGGCACAGGCTTAACCAGGACACTTGGTGGGGAGGAAGGGGAGAGCAGGGACAGAGACCATGAGATCCAGGCCCAGAAGGGGGTGAGCTCAGGAGCCAGGCGCTGTGGAAACCAGAAGCATGCTTCATTCAGTCCTCTGGAACTAGAGGAAGGAGAAGATGATGCAAAATGAGGAGCAAAGTTGAGGAAGCTCCTGTCTTGGAGTCTCTGGCTCCCTAATAGAGGAGGCCCTGGGGACTCACAGAGAGCGAATGGGTGTCTTCAAACGAGAGAAGCATGAAGGATCTACATTGGCCAAAAACAAGGGCCTTGACCTCTTTCGTTTATTTTTGTTTTTTAAAAAATTTGTTTTGAGACAAGATTTTCACTCTGCTGCCCAGGCTGGAGTGCAGTGGCACCATTTGGCTCACTGCAACCTCCACCTCCCAGGTTCAGCAATTTTCCTGCCTCAGCCTCCCAAGTGCCTGGGATTGCAGGTGCACGCCACCACACCCAGCTAATTTTTATGATTTTAGTAGAGACAGGGTTTTGCCATGTTGGCCAGGCTGGTCTTGCACTCCTGACCTCAGGTGAATTGCCTGCCTCGGCCTCCCAAAGTGCTGGGATAACAGGCACGGTGGCGTCTGGCCCTCTTGTTTATTAGCTGCAGTACTGTGGTCTGCTGAACCCCCTGCCTAGTGGGAATTTCAGATATCCTAGAGAGTCCCAAGAAAGCAGCTGGAGTGTGTAGGCCCTTATAGCCAGCCCACAGTTCTCAGGGAAGTTGATCAGTTCTGTTACCTTTCTGGAATGTTCTGTGCAAGCTGCCCTGGGAGTGTGAGTAGACTTGGAGTGAGAAGGAAGAAAGGAACCCGAGTCTGTGGAGGAGGAGTGAGGGAGAGAGGTCTGCAATAGGAATCCACCCAGACTAACACCGGCAAATCGAGTTACAACCCACCATGGTCCTCACTCAGACCCAAAAATCGTGTAGGGACTCGGGACTGTCTGTGATGGCCACAACTAAACATTCCAGGGCCTTCGACTTCACCATAGTGAAACGGAAGAAGCAGCAACAGTGCTGCGTGACCTCCAGGCCGAAGGACTGGAGGAGACCTCTAGAATTGCACTCAGCCCAGGCATGGGTAAAACCCACATTCGTGTAACCCATGGCTGGCCCCAGTGTTTTTGTGTGTTTTTGGGCTCTCCCCAAGCAGATGGCGCCCTTGCCCAGAGCCCCTTCTCCCCAAGGCGCCGTCTGTTCTGAGCGTAGAAAGCTCGCAGTTTCATAGATGTTGGAACTAGAGAACACTCATCTGGTGTAGCCCACCAGACAGGCCAGAGAGGGCGCAAGGGTAACTTGGCCCGGGTCCCAAGGGCCATGATGGACTTGAGGCCAAAGTCAGCTCCCTGATCCAGGCCTGTCCTCAGCCCTCCCCGGCTGCTGCGGGCCTCCCCTCAACCCGGGCAGTCAGAGGAGAGCAGGCAGGTCCAGGGTTGGCCCTCAGACTCCTCTTGGGACTGTCCTGCTTCCTCATCCCGCCCACACCACACCCACCAGCACCCACGGCTCCTCTCCTCAGACCAGCCCTCCCTGCTCTCTGTGGAATAGGGGAGCCCTGGCAGCCCTGACTCCCCCCGGTCCCAGAGTTTTCTTCCAAACCCACTCCATCTGTCTAAAGCCATGTCCACCTAGCTGTCCCCAGAGCTGCTGTCACACACACACTACTGACAGAATGGAAGACTCGGACCTCGGAATCAAAGGTGCTCTCCTGCCACTGAGGAGGATGTCCCTGTGACGTGCTAAAGTGGGCTGGTGGGGACGCTTTGCAAAAGTGGCCAGTTGGAACCTGAGCAGAAGGCTGGATTTGCTGTTGGGTTCTTTCCCCAGATGACGTACTGCCATGGAGCCTTTGCAAACCACTCATGCCTCCACCAAAGACAGACCCCAGGCTCACTGAAGGACGGAGACTGTGGGTGTCAGGGAAGGCCTGGGAGAGCTTCCCCTCACATCCATCCGCTATGTTCGCTGGCTTGCTATGAAGGAAGGAATTGCCAGAGGCTCTGGGAACACCAAAGGCGAGGGCCCTGGGAGGTGGTGGCAATGGGGACCGGTGACTGGCTTCTTGCTCCTTGGGGGCCCAGGGAAGCTACTTCTTCCCCTCCTGATCAGCTCATCAGAGACAGCTCTCCTCCCAGGTGGGAGAAGCTCCCACCATCCTCTACCTTCCCCTAGACAATCACATTGTAGCCCACATGATGGACTTCTCTGTTTAACAAGGCTTTCAGTGTTTCACAGGGCCGTGGCTAGTTTTGCTCCTTTGCTGTCTTGGCAGTTCTGTGTACAAAGTTCCTACCATACAATGCTAATGTGATGTTAAACAGAAGCACCATATTATATCCGAAAGCTCATTAGCCTAGAACTATCTATGCAGATTTTGTAAAACCCGTATTCGTGTAACCTATGGCTGACCCCGGCTTTTCATATGAATAAAGCCGTTGGAACCACAGAGATCTTTTGCAAAATAGGCAAAGTCTATTTGGAAGGCAGGTTACCTTCTCTCAGCAGGCAGGGCACTACTGCACTGAAATGTGCATGAAGATGAGTGTAATATTAACCCTTAAGGCGTGTTTAAAGGAGGGGTTCGTTTATGCTGCTTAAACATAAAAAGTCTAGCAAATAATTGAAAAAACCAACCCCATTAACAGTGAGAGCAGCCAAGGCCTCCAGCCCTGGGGGAGATGTGATAACGCTCCTACTTGGAGATCACCCGAATGCAAACACAACCATATCTGGGTCATTTATTTATTTTTTAATTAAAAAA